ATATATATATATATATATATATATATATATATATATCTTTGAAAGAATGTTAACTAGAACTATATTTTAATAGTTAAAAAAATAGAATATCATCTTTGGTATATCGTACACATTAATAATTAATTTGACTTACAATTAATAATATCTGTTTATGTTACATAATAGTTTTGATTAGATTGCGATACTTTTTCTTTTTTATCTACTATTCTTTTTTTCACTTGGTCTTCTTCACAGATATTACATATCACTGAGCCTATATAGATATCAATCGTTTGTCACCGGACATTTTTAGAAAATGAGGATTGATGCAAGTCAGATGTAGCAAAAAATGATAAAATATCTTTATATGGTTTATTTTTGTGCTGAAAATGGCTTAAAACAAAATCGAAAGATTCACACTTTATTATGTTTTTTTTTTTAAATAAACGTTATTAATTAAATAGTACAAAAGTAATACCGTGCTGACTCTTTGCAATAGCCTTATTCTTTTTATATTGTTTTTATAAAATTGCATCTTTGATTTTCAATTGATCTTTGCGTAGGGCTAAGAGATCAATTTGTCCCGTTTTCTATGCCAAGAGCTTTCCCTTAACGCACATTCGTTTCCGCTTCGTCCAACTTAAGCCGCTCAGCTATAAAGCTCTGTATTTGAGCAGCGATGCGTGCAGAGCGACAAAATGTTCCTCCTTGATCGCGAAATACCGTGCAAAGTGAGGTGCTTTTGTGCGAAAAAGGAAAGCTTTAATGGACGTGGCTGCGAAAAAACAGATCGTTTTTCGTCTTTGATTCGCAACAGATTCGACGAAAGCCGATAAAATTAAGACTAAAATTACTCAAACGACATTTCGTATTTTACATGATTACACGAACATGTAAGAAAAATACATTTGACTTAAAACTACGATTTTTTCCAAATTAAAATTTGCCTGAGATTCGTTATCTTTTACGATTTTTTTAAACTTTAATATACCTTAGATCCCAACATTTTTCGTAGAAATAATTATTCAAAATATTATGAACTTAAAACTATAATTTTCAACATTATGTATATTTTTAATAAAATCTTTGTTTTATTTTTTTCCAAAGAAGAGCCATTAGTATAATTAATTACCTTATTAGTATAATTAATTTCATCAAGAATTGTATATATATATATATATACAGTTTGTGTAATAAAATTGATATAAACGATATGTATATAAACGATATACTGTTTTTGACGGATAATGTACCGCTACTGTATTGAACATAGAAAATCATTGTTTGTAGAGTAAACAAGTCTTTTCATTGGGTGCGTTTTTCCGGTAAGGGAATTCACCGTTGAAAGAACAATTACTCCTGGAAAATAATAATATTTATACCTGTTACAATGTGCACGGCCAATTTGGTCGATAAAGCAAACAACCCTGAAGCGGATTTTGCAACGCTTCTTTTTACTACGTAGGTATACGCGTGTCTGCGCACATCAAACCGCTGCGACCGCTTCAATTTGTAAAAATATCTCTTCTTTATGAATTTTTCAACTTGCTTGCAATGCTTGCTGACAACGCTTTGTAATGGTAAAATTTTAAAAGACTCATAGAAAGCATTTCAAATAGATTGTTTTTGCAAAACATATAACTTTTTTACTATTTACAAAAAACAAAATTTTCTTATATAAGATTGTAATATGACGCGCTCAAAGAATATAATTGAAAAAATTTTTTTAATAAAGTAAATCAAGAACTCGATTAAAATAATTTGAATAATTCGAATAAAATAATAAAAAAATTAATATTTACTTAGGATAAATACTTGATTTTATATGCTGTGACAAAAATAACAAGTTTTTACGTTATTGATAATTTTTTATTGTCTATTATAATATTCATTTTCTATTTATCACCTAAAAACTTCTTCAAAATTGTTAAAAAAGTCCAATTTTTTGAATTTTTTCTATTAGTTTATTTATAACATATTGACATACAACAGTTACATTACCGAATATTTTTGTCATAAGATAATTTCGCAATATTATAAATATTTTTGAAATGTGATTATTACTAATAATATATTAATATTTAAAGAAGAAAGATAAAATTTTATCAAAAGATATAGTGTTAGAATTCCTTTAAAGAATCTATAGATTCTTAAATATTATTCTGAGCTGCCTTTCCGGAAAACGCGCCCAATGCAAAGACTTATTTACTCTACAAACAATGATTTTCTATGTTCAATGCAGTAGCGATATTGTCCGTTAAAACCGGTTTACACAGTTTATATTATACATATTTAAATTTGACTATTTTAAAAAAGTTACGTGTAAAGAAATAAATTTAATTAAAAATATCATGTGCCGTGATTAAAAAGCGAGTCATGCGATAGTTGCATGCTAAGCACATAAGTATATATCACTTCTTAAAGAAATTGAATTCTGATGGTTAAAACTGATGTCCCGGTGAGAGAAGAAATTCTCGTTGCGCCAGTGGCGAGATATCTCTCGACGGGGCGATGCGTGATAAAGGGGAGATATTGCGACGCCAGTGCGAACGTGGGAATCCGCGGCTGCTATCCGCTCAGCCTCATTAATGATGATGTGCTTGCCACCCAGTTGCAGCTCTCGCTTCACCATCTCGCTCTATCTGTCTTTCTCTCCTACAGCGTCCTTCGTTCCCTCTCTCCCTCTCCCTCTCTCTCTCTCTCTCTTTCTCTCGCTCGCTCTCTCTCCCTTTAGATTTGCAGCCACGCTCGAAAGATCGAGCTCTGTGGAAGCTGACGCCCGGCCAGCCACCACATCCGATCTACACCACCCTCTTTCATCCGCGATTTGCCCCCGCTTTCCTCTCGACCTCTTGTTCGCCCCTCCCCCTCTTCTCATCGGGTCACGGGATATACAGCTCTCGTACATCTCGAACGACCTACAACGCGCGTTACACCCCGAATTCAATTCCGTGCAACCTGTGCCCACTTTTTCGCTCCCACCGTTAAGTCCATCGCCGATATTATTGATAGGCGTTTTCTAGATACGGACCTTCGATCGCTGAAGGGCGAGGATGCATAAGGAGATATTTCATTAAGAAAGGGTTGAGGATATATGTTATCGGCTTTTAAAAATATTAATTGTATGATTTTGTTTTCTTTTTTCTGTACGAATAACTTGAAAAAATTTTATAATCTTTTTGAGAGTACATACATTGATGTACCTTTTCTACGAAAAAAATAAAAAATTATTTAATGTATATCTAAAAAGTACAAATACAAATACAATCTTTAGTCATATGTATAATATCCCTTTGAAAAGTTTTATGATTGATTAATAACAGAGACTATAAAACGTCGTATAAAACAAAGAGAAAGGCCATATATATATATATATATGTGTGTATTCATAGTTTTTCCTAAGAAGCATTAGATTTAGACTATTCGAGAGCTTCATGATACAATCGCGGAATAATCTGTCAGACGTCAAAAGTAATATAATGACGTCATGACTGGTGTTTAGCAGTGCAACATGAGCGCGGACCGAGGAAACCAAAACCCCACGCGATCATCTCGTCGGAGAAGCAGCATCAGCAACAGTCGCCGATTGTCACGCAATTGTCTCCTCATTCTGCGACTTCGGTGCACAGTGATCGATTAAGACCAGCACTAGCTCCTCCGTACGTTCTCTCGCCACACAGGTGTGTAACGCTTGCATTAATCGCATTAAATTAACATATTTGTCTCATTAATCTAATATTTGCTCCAAAGTTTTCTTAACTTATATTCGCGGCTATAGTATATTTTAAATTAATATTTTTTTTTAAGTTAACGGAATTGAACAATTTGTTTCATTTTGAAAGTCAAAATCTGAGGAATAAAATTATTTAACTTAAAATTATGTAAAGTTGTAAAAAATATTTGTTATAAATAATTTTTCACAACATAGTTGAAGAAAATGTCCAAGTCCATGAAGTTCATTGAATATCGATTCGTACGGAAAAGGAAATAAAAATAGATGTCAGTATATCAATATACGATTAGCGATAAAATCATAAGAATAATTAAATTAATATAATAAAAATAGAATAGAACAATTGTGCGAATTCTTGAATTTCCACATTTATCGTTTGTGTTAGGTGAAGAAAGAAGCGAATTGGATACTCTGGTTTATTAACATATGCATATAGAATGTTCACTATTGTTAATGGCAGATTCTATGATCAATCTTATGTTTATCTTTTCTCCTTGAGATATCCAAGCATTGATAGATTGTTAGCCAACGAATATAACTAATAATAAATAAATGTAATATAATAAATAGAGTTTATATTCTTTATATTGTATGAAAGAGTAATAAATAAATAGAACTGTACTTTAATAGAATTCTTATATAATTCAAATTACTTCTCTCAAATAAACGAAGCTCAAGCGTTTAGTTTTCAATTGAATTTTGTCAGCGGGTCTAATATAAATTAAGGAATTTTTATTAATTTGAGGAATTTATAGAAATCTAAAAAATATAGTTTGCCGATTGTACTCGTGCATTGATTCGAATACTTGGAGAATTATGTGAAAAATTACTGCACAGCTTAAGATTACTGCACACTTTTGTTGATAAAAAAACTGATATTAGAATTGGTCAAAGAATTTAATCCATAGATGGTAGGAACATACCTCGTGTAGTTACAGAAGATGATAAAATTTCATGAAGTGACACAGACTCTCTTCGTGAAGTAGTTAAGGGTTATTACTGTAGAAGGTTAAGGTGCGACCAAAGATTCACGCCTTATCCACGACCGATGGCGCTGGTACAGAAACCGCCGGAGGAATCACCATCCCCTGTACCGTTGATTCTACCGCACCCTCGCACGACTACGACCCTCTATCAAGCGGCCACAACCGTCTCCTTAGCACCACAGCCTCCCCTTCTGCAGATACTAATGTCCGCCGAGGAATGTCAGGTAAGTAATTCAGCTTAATTTCGTACCCGCTTCCCTTATTTTGTTCCTGCAAATTTAATAAAGGCGAGTTGCTCCACTCAGTTTCTTCCTCGCGGTTTAAATAGCGGACAAATTACACGCAGGAATTATTATTAATATTAGCTTCTTGGTGTAAATGAAATCCTTTTATTTTGCGAATGTTAATTGTTGGCTTTATTTGCAATTATATTATTTAAAATTAAAGCTAAAGTTATAAAAGAGAAAGTTAAAATAACAACTCACAGACAGCACAGAATTTTTATAATAAATGGTCATAATATTTATATTATTTTTATTTTTTGAAATATTATATAAATATTTTGTACATATTTTATATAATATTTATGATAAACGTAGATACATATTTTTAGTAAATATTTTTTATTTAGATTATAATGTCTTATTAAATATTTTCATAGCATTTACTACAATATATATGATAAATATTTCATAATATTTATAATAAATATCTATAATTTGTGCAATCTAAAATCATAAAAATATTTACTAAATATTAAAACATTAAAATTATATTAAAATATTAAAAATAAATCTTATAAATATTTTGGAAATATTCTATAAATATTATGCGCTGTTTAAATCAAGCGAGCGATAATTTGCTAAGAATAGTAAATGATCTATTTATATCTTATAATATACAATTATAAAAAAATAATTCTTGTGAATTCAAGAAACAGAGCTTTGATAAAATGCTGCCGTCGGACTCTGATAGAGATTAATTTGACTATTTTTTTTTTATGGAAGTTTCAGAAATCACAGAATTATTTTTTAAAGCAAACAGGTGATTAGTTTATATTGTGCAATTTAAAATTATAAAATTTTTTAAATATCATATTGAATTTTTATTTCTGCGAAAGAATATAATAGCTTCTTTTTTAATATTTTGCAAAGATAGATTCACCGATCATGTATCTATCTATAGTTTGCCATTTGTTACGAGGGTAGTTCTCGACCTGATATAGAAATGACGCCACAAATATCAAACTGCTATAATTTTAGAGATTTAATTCTTCACTGGACTACTGTTAAAATTTCAGACAGATGCATTAATTTCTTTATTTCGGTCGTAAAGCAACCAAACTCTTTGGTTCCTTCATGACAATGCAGCCGCTCACATTTCATCAATTGCAGTCACAAAATTTTATTAATATTTCACTTGAAATCTGATGCTTGCAGGACCAATTTATGGAATTATTCGACTCTAATTGAGGAAATGTGAGCAGATGCACTGTTATGATGGAACCAATAGTTGGTTGCTTTACTCGACCAAAATAAAAAAACTAATAAACGCATCTGTCTGAAATTTTAACAGTAGCTCTGTGAAGGGCCAAATTATTTGTTTAAAATTATAATAGTTTGATATAAAGATTATGCGTTTTGCGGGTTTTCTCTGTGTCCAGATTCATTCTTGAATGCCAACGTTTCGTGAACCTTACAATTCATTTCATCAGGGCGATACTGTATCGAGCTGCTCTTCGCCCTGATGAAGTGAACTGCAAGCACTTCATGAAATTGGACATGGAGAAACTCGCGAAACGCATAATCTTTATACAGAAAGCATTCGTGGAAATCTCAAGAATATTATTATAATAATTCGATATTTGTAGCGTCGTTATCGTCAAACCGAGAACTTTTCAAATTATCCTCGTACATATCACTTTGCACTCTTTTTTTTTATGAGAATCATACTTTACAAATTATCGCCTCGTTTTGCCAAGGAACTGGTTTGGAACGCGCGATTACAACCCACGGCAGAGTATCCGATGGAGCAAATAGAAACGGAGACGAGTCGAAGTCCGACGGGCACCGTACAGAGCTTTAGTCCGACTTGGGAGATGCTGCAGGTATCTTCCAATACTTTCATTACGTATCTTCTTTTTTCTTTAATCGTTCACACATGTCGCGTCACATAAATGTTAATGCAGGAGACGACGGCCCGACTATTGTTTATGGCTGTCAGATGGGTGCGTTGCCTGCCGCCCTTCCAAACGATATCGAAGGACGATCAATTGTTACTCCTAGAACGATCCTGGACGCAGTTGTTCTTGCTGCACTTGGCACAATGGTCTGTCTCCTGGGATATCACCGCGCTCCTCGAAGATGAGCAAGTGCGTAGTAGATTGCCCACGGATGACAACCCAACGAATCAGGAGCTCGTCCTTATTCAGGTTTATCGGCTTTACCCTTCTGCTCGTAACAAATAACAAACACCATTATAAATGTCAAAATTGAATAAAATTTTCCTATCGGTAGAAAGAAAAAATATTATTATTATTATTATTATTATTATTATTATTATTATTCGTTACTTCCAGTTTTTTATTTGTCCAATTTGCATTAAAAAGTTCGCTGTTTCCAATAACGAGAATAACAAAAATTAAATTAAAGTATATCGTTGATTTAATGTTATTATCTTACTCCTCTGTCTTCTCTCTCTCTCTCTCTCTCTCTCCCTCTTCCCCTCTCTCTCTCTTTCTCTCTCTCTTGCTCAGATGTAAAATATGGACGTGTAGACACTAGTACCATTTTATTTATTTAACAAGAATGACTTTTTGTATCATTATATCGTTTTCTTGATTTCAGTGAACATTTTTCTTTAGTTTCCTCTGTAGACTCGCAAGGACTTCGTTTCAATGGAGTATTCTCTTACGTTCTAGGCTATAATATGCCGATTCAGACAACTGTCTCCCGATTTCGGTGAATGCGGTTGTATGAAGGCAGTGGCTTTATTTACGCCAGGTAAAGAGAATTAATACAAGTTAATTGTCATATTAGCGTAATACGATCGTTGCAAATTTTTCATCATCGAAAACATGAACTTTGTTATTTTTATATTTCATCGTTATTATTTTTATATCAATATTAATCCTAAAACGCTATACTATGGGAATAATTATTATTACTAATGGGAACGTTGAGTATAGCCTAATTCGATTGTTATACCTCTACAGCATGAAATACTGCTGCAATATTTTAATAGTGCGCAATATTACAAAAATTGCAGCAATTATTACTGCAATATTGAAAATTTAAATATTATATCGGAAATATTGCATCAATATTGTGAAATTTTAATATAATTCAACTAAACAATTAAAGATTGAAGGAATCGAGTCGAATTTATTGAGCTGATACTTAATGAAACATCCTTTTTAAAGGATCAGGGATCTTGATTCACTTATACAGCACAAAGTTGCAACAACACTGTTGCAACATTGTAGAGATTTTGCAGCGATATTGCTGCAAATGTTGTGCTGTATGGGTTTTAACCAAAACATCAAACATTAATGATAATAACGCAAAAAGCATACTGAAAAAGCATTGAAAAAAAATGTATGTATATTCATCAAGTATGTTATATTCAACAATGCGTTTAAAGGTTAATTATCATTATATATTATTATTTTATTTATTTTAAATTATTTGTCATAATATATTGTTTTCTTAAATGATTTCTTAAAATAATTATCACAAAAGGATAAATATGACTGATTGATGATAATTATTTTGATCGATTTTGTTTTGCTTATTAAGGGACGGATATCGTATACAGTATATCTTTTTTTTATAAATCACAGAGACGGTAGGTCTGCACGCGGTCCAGCCCATTGAGATACTGCAAGATCAGGCACAACGTATTTTAGTGGACTATACAAGGTCACGATATCCACAGCAACCTAGTAGAATCGGCAGATTGATGATTCTGGTCGGATATCTGAGGTGCGTCTCTTCCAAGACCGTCGAACGTCTATTCTTTCACGAAACCATCGGGGAAATACCAATCTCGCGTTTACTAGTCGACATGTATCAAATGGAAAAGTATATCAACTGAAGCGCATTTTGCATATCATACATACGCGTTATACATAAATGTGTCAGGACCACAACGAGCTCGCAGCTTTCCAAAACTCTTCCGACTCTCTCACATGTAGAAACAGCAGAATAGAATAAGAGAAAAGTTTTTGAAATCTGTAGTGGTCTTCACAAATTCCCTTTTCACAATTTGTCCTTGCAATTATGTAGTATAGTGTTGATATCCGACGAAAATGGAGTTTATTGTTTCATTAAATCTATTATAAGATCTATATACCATTTATATTAAAGAAATAATAGTTCCTTTGTCAGTTATTTTTATAGAAAATTAATCATAAATTATCTGGGCTTTTTATTGAATTTATTATCTAAATCATTAAAAATTGTTTCCTACTTTTAAAACAAAATTAAAATGAAATTGTACATTCTTGTGAAAATTATACATTCGAATTTAATTCTTTTGAATATTTTTATTTACAATAAATGTTCTTGAATGTATTCACTTTATTATTATTATTATTTTATATCGTAATTTTACATTTAAGTAAAAATATGATGTCCTTGAATATCTTCAAGAAAATGTGAAAAATGTTTAACATGTGTATTTCTGTGAGGACACTGGACATTCTACTTACAAAGGACCTTGTATGTATTACAGTATCCTGCGCCATGTCTTAGCGCCTAGATACTACCGTGTCTCCAGATTACAACTATTGCATTTCTAACAAATAAATATATTCAAGTATAACACTCCAATTTCTTTCAAATTTAGCATAAATATAGAACTATGAAAAATATATTACCTATGTTTTTTCATTTTGGCCCATAAGCGGTTTTAAAAAACACTTGTTATTATCGTTTCAATTTTTACTCTTTTGTTAGCTATAAACAGAATGATATGTGCTTTCCAGCTGGACTTGAAATATTACCGGGAAAATTAGGGACTCCGTATTTTGGGGCCATTCTAAAGAGATGTTCTTCGGACAAGCGCCAATATATACTGATTCCAAGCGAAACGAACAAGCAAAAAAAGATGTATTTCACCTCTATTAAAGCATATTTATTGCACACCCATTAAATAGAGTTTGAAATTAAAGGAAATTGTCTAAACAATCTATATTTATTCATTTAAATATTTATTTATTTATTCATATATTTATTTGTATATTTATTTTTATATTTATTTGTATATTTATTTTTTCATTTATTTGTTTTAATTAAATAATAATAAACAGCAATATATTTAAATAAATACTTAAACATAACGGCACATCTTCAACAATTGAAATTAGAAAGTATCGACAAAATCAATCAGGGCATTAAAAAGGTTTCTTTCAGAAGAATCATCTATATGTGATGTGCCCTTCAAAAAAAGCATTTTCAATTTTTTTCTTGGGCTCTTTCCTTGAGGTCTCATCGGGCATTTGCCCGATTGTCTAGTGGACCAGTTCGCCCTTGTTTCCAACAAGCAACACAGACGACACAGTGCAACACAGTGAATCCTAATATCCTTGTTGGTTACCAATGTTAAACAAAAAAAATGATCACTGTGTTACATTGTGTTGCTTGCTGAAAAGTACATAATATCTAACAAACAGTTGAATATAAGATATGAATTTTTTTGGAAAATTGCGAGATAATCTTTTGTAAATAAAATTTTCCGAAAAGAAAAGATAGGAAAAATTATTAAAGTTTAAACATAATTAATCTTAAATTTTTATTTCCTTAAATTTTGATTGTTTACCATTACAAAAAATCAATTTTATATAATGTTATTACAAAAGAAAGTCTATGTCAATAATATATGTAATCAGTAATCTAAAATTTACATAAATTAAAAATTTATATCTAATGACTTATCACAAAATACTTTAATTTTTTTTATACCATGCCAATTTATTGTTCAAAAAAATGTTTAACGATTTGTTTTATGAATTAAATGAATAAATTAATCATATTTAAAATCCGAATAATTTATATAGATAAGATATATTTCTATAACTGTATTTTTCTCAATTTTCTTTCTAATTTGTTTAACTGTTTGTAATTTTGTAATCAATGAATCAAAAAATTTCTTTGTATTTAAATATTTGTTAGATGTTATTATTTTGTTTATAGTTGATAAGAAGATAAAAATTGAAAGAATAGTTATTGTCCTTAAAACCAATTATAGGTCAAAATAGAAAAATATATGTAAAATGTTTCTCATATACTTAGTTCTACGGTGAGTCAAATCGAAAAGTTATACTTGAATAAGTTTATTTAAAGCAAAACTAAGTAAAGCAAAACTTTATATTACTGTTTATATCGAATATTGAACAGTGATTTTTTTTGCATGACCCAAAATCCAAATAAAAAAGGATAATGAAATAAAATCTGCACATGGAAACATTTACTTCAATTCACATATCTTGATGATTGCGAAATGTAAAAAAAATGGAATTATATGTGCTTTTATATTCGAGTTTTACTGGGTCAATGTTTATTGCAGAAGTTTTAATGACAACTGTTTATTGTTGTATTGTTCAAGCATTTGTTCGTATTTCTACGTTTATGTGAAATAGTAATAATCTATTATTATAAATTCGTATTATTGAAGATAATTATTATTTTCTAATTATATATTTTCAGAATATTTTATAGATTAGACGGAGTACAGTCATGTAAAGTGATTATAAAACCATTTCGAAAATTGTGCTCGAGGAAATAATCAAGAATCTGTAATGTACCATATATCCCTCTCTGTGATCCTCCTTGAGTAAAAAATTATTGTACCAATTCAATTTGTTAAATAATAATGGTGCGTGGAATAGATATCATATACATATGTATTGCATCAGCGTATAGCTAACAATAAGTTATATGTATGATAAAAATAATGTAGACAATGGAAGTATCGCAATATAATTATAATAAAATTACAATAAAAAATATGATATAATAATGTAAAAAGTGTGGTATAATAATGGTGCTCTAATTTTTTATATCACTGCTTCGGCGAAAAAGTAATGTTTATTTATGAAATTTGAATGTAGTGCAAAACTATTATTATGAACGACAGCATTAAACAAAATCGGTTGAAAAAGATGTATCATAGAGGAAAGTTGTATTCTATTATTGTTGTATTCTTAAATTCTTTTGTTAATAGAATTGTTAAATATGTTGCAATTACATAAAAAATATTATAACATACTACAGGATAAGCTTATTTATTCTGTATTAATAAATGTCTTATACAAATATACTGTAATATTTCGTTCTAATATAAATTTTGTCGATATTAAACAAAATTTTTTTTATTGTAATCTTAGATAATATATATCACCTAACATGATATACATGTTATACACACACACTATTATAATTATAATATATCATAATCATGTGTTTCTGTCAACTGCAGAGATACAATTATTTATTTATATTGTATTTATAACCTTATAATACATTTTAATGTAAATGTAAAATATTTTATTGAATTATTATCATAAATTGGTATTTTATTTTTTGTATTAAAATTTTATTTTTATTTTTTAATATAAATATATAATAATTGCTTTTCTCTCTTATTTTATCATTAGACATCTTACGATGGTTCTCATAATAAAAAAATTTATGGGCATTACATGCATATCAAAAAATAAACTTAAAGGTGTGTCTATTAGATTATTGAGTCGAACCCTAATTGAGCATTTCAGTAAGCATTTATTATTACGCGGCTCGGCAAATGAACTGTTCGTCAAAATGCTCGCGGTTTGAAGTTTGGCTCAATAATCTGGATATATCTTAATTATATTAATGCTGTACATCTTTACGTTTTAGCTTGTTCTTTGAAACTCTACGTTTTAGCTTGTTCTTTGAATCTCTATGTTTTTAGCTTGTTCTAGCTCATCTTATGAAATTGATTATATAATAAGTATTATTAATTGTTTCTTATTTAATACAAAAATAAAAATGCTTAAATTACAGAATTATATTAAAAATTTTGCTTTAAACAACTGATTGAATTAATTGTCGATATTAATTTAAATAAGATTTTAGTTGAAGTCACTGATAGCGGAAGTCACTAATTGCAACTTTTAAACACTTTTTATAATCATCATTATTAATACTATCGTTGTCTAAGAGATAAATGTTTATAACTTTTTTGCAACAAATTCTATTTATCTTCAGGTATACTTTTAAAATCTCAGCTGTATAGATTCCGTAGTCTTTTTTCATGTAAAAAGACTGAGATTTGCGGATAATTAAAAAACATTGAAATGACCGACCGTCGATGATAAATTTATAATCTGTTGAGCAGTCGGTTTTATTTCATCCATCGATTATTATTCTTTTGATACATAATATTTATTCATTCGGAAATTATATAAAATTATATATATTTTTATATAATTTTATATAATCATATGTAAAATATTTTTTCCCAGATAATTTGATTTGTAAATCATTAAAGTCATACTTTCTAACTACTCTGCACTAAGTACAGATGGAGTAAATGATCATTAATGACAAAAAGCTTTCGAACATGTTGAGACCCATTTTTTATTAGAGAAGAGGATTATAATTTTTCATTATGATTACATCGTAGTCATCACCACTGTTGATGATCGGCGATTTATTAGTTACTGCTTATAATATGATACTCTAATTGCATTAGGCTTTTAACAACTTTTACCTCTCAAAATATGATATTGCATTCCATTAATAATTTTAACTAATAATACTTTTGAGGTTTTCACAGGTGTTTTTTTCAGAGGTGCCAAAGGATTTATGAATTATCACCATATCGTGATCCATTACTAATGTCAACGTTTTGTAAATCTTGCCGTTCACTTCATCAGAGCAAAGAGGGCACTGATACTGAACTGATTCTTCGGAGGACTCCCTTTATGTAAATGTTAAAGATAATTCTACAATGCTTTTTGTTTTCTATTTCTTACTGTTTGTTTTTTGTCTTATTGTTTTTTGTCCTATGACCAAAAAGGCAAAAGACAAACAGAGACAAACAGCAAGAAACAGGAAACAAAGAGCACATTGTAGAATTAGCCTAAGGAGCTGGCACTTCAGGAACTGAACATGGACCCAAATATCATCATACTTTCAGCGAACAAAGACAGTGGTCATGAATATATCAGACAGGATGAAAATAGAAACCTTTCTTTCGGACGAAATATATATAGGTTGGAAAAAGACACAACAAACAAGATTACATGGAATACAAGTGTCTTAATGAAAAAAGCGAGCTTCCCAGCAAAACTAATTGTAAGTAGTTTGTACATAGAATATGCTTTTCTCTATATTAAACTTATCTACAGTTTTACTAAATCTTTAATTTCTTAATATCGTTATTTTAATGTACTTATTTTTATAAGAATTTAGATTAAAGATAATAATATAAATATATATATAGATTAAAAATTATTTTTAAATGTTTATGTTCCCTGGTGAAAATAAATCAGTGAAATCTTTATCAATAGATCCATTTCAGTATAATTTACAATAAAATGAATCAATTGATAGATTTCAGCGATTTTCAGTGATTTCAGCGATTTATTTCTATTAGGGTTACTATTATTCTCTCATTAAGGTATCGCAATTCAAAATTAAAAGTATTCAAAATTTGTGTTAAAATTTGGCCCGTTTTTTGTCGGTGAATATATATATCGAAAAGATATCACTTTATAATAATACCAGCATTACATGTATAAGGAACAGATGCTATTACATGTATGCCTAACTTTCGTGAAACCAATATGAATCATTCGAATAAATTTAACTTTAAGAAATTAGATTATTAAATTATTTCGGAATTATTACAGTTACCAGTTATTCATATATTATAGCACGTCGTTTCAAAATTAGCTTGATTGATGCTTCCGCATATAAATAATAGGAATAATATAAAATCAAAATATTAATCATATTTTTTATTCAATTTTACATAATGAGATAATTAACTTATTGTTAGCTATGTTAAATTTGTTTTGAAGAACAAAATTATAGAATTCTTTATCAATTGAATACTTATTGGTAAAATTAACATCAGGAAAGAGATTTTGAATTATTTTGAGTTTATTTAATAACATTTATAAGAAATTAAATTAATTAATTAGTTCATTCCTTTATTGATAATAAGTTTTTGTTGAGCTTTCGCCTAAATCCTTCTGGTTGTCTTGGAGACTTATTTTGGGAGTTCCAGTATTCACTGTTCTATATATACAAAAATTAAAACATCTGATTATACAATTCGAATTCAAGTTTTCAATTAAATCTATTCAGAACTTAATTGATACAGCTGATTCGATAATCTCGGGTACTAATAAATCGACGGATCGCGTAAATATACACAACCGGTCTCGAAAGTCATATATAAAATAACAAAATAATAATAAATGATTAATTTGACACTCGAGACACTACTACGTCTTTTAATTAGACTTAAGATTTTCTAATAAATATTAAAAAAAAAATATTATATAAAAAACTAATACAAAAATATAACGCTATGATAAAATTTGGAAACAAATTGTGGAAGCCTATTTTTTTAGCAAAATAAAAATTTATATGTTAAATTAACACACTAGAACGATACATTAGATGTAGTACGCAAGATGGGTTTTTTTTCAAAGGTTTATATTTCTATAATTTGATAAGATTGATTAATTTACTTGGCAATTTAAACATGCTAAAACATTCTTTTCCTTTGACAAGGAACAAAAAACCCGATAAAAAATTTTTCATGTAAAAAACATATAGGGAAAAGTAAGGAAATCGTGCGCATCTAAGTGTAAAACGCTACGAATTAATTCCAACACCTAATATATCCTCTATCAATATGCATTCTCATTTTGAACAATTTTTCATTTAATAATATTGTATTTGACGAAAAAAGTAAAAGCGAAAAAATTTCTCGCGCGACGCCGACGGGTAATTGTATGCATAAATTGAATAATTATGCGCAAAGCAAAAATCGTAGGAAACTAATAAATAATACTCATTCTAATTCATATTTTATGGAATGTTGATAAGGAAATGAAAAAATATATTTGTTAATAAAAACTTAATATAAACTTTGAAAAAATAATATAAAAATTGGGAAAATTAATTATTTAAACAAAAATAGCATATGTAATTCTTTCTGTCATCAACTTCACTGCATTCTTCATAGACCCATATATTCAGAACTTAAGGAGCATTAAAATCACTCAGTGACAAACTAAAGTAATAAAATGTCAACGTTATAATTTCGCATAATGTAACTGCTATGTAACACCATGTGTTATATTATAATACATTTATATTGTGGTATACGAAATAACATGGATGTCATGTTACTTTTAATTTGTCGACTGGGCAGAGTTTCATATCTTCCGAATTCATTACAAATAGTGCACTTTTCATTGGGAAGAAACTTTGAACTATCTATGCGCACAATTTTTAGCCGCGAATTGATTTGATAAGAAAAACGGTTACTCAAAGACTTTTTAACTTAATTCAATGAATAATAGCTCAAAAGATGCACATAATAACGCATTTCAATAAGATATATGCACGATAAGATATAAGCAAAATAAGAATACGGATTTAAAGTCTTATTTTTTGGATGTCAAAATTACTATCAAAATACGTAATTTCACTTTTTTTCGCTTTTTCCGTTAACTACATTTTCAAATTATATATGTAACTTATGCTTATATTTGCAAAGCACTATCTAGCCTAGAAATTTCGCCAAGGTATAGCGGTTCCATTCATCAGAAAGTGTTAAATCAAAATATGCACAAGTACTCTACTTTTCCATATGTATAAATATAAATAAACACATGCATATATAAGTATAAAAATATATACATACATAAAAATATATACATTACATACGAAATATATGTCCATATATCTTTCTTTTTTTTGTAAAATTACTGTTTAGTATACGAAAAATTATATTTAATTATAATGAAAAAATTATAATAAAAAAAATTAAAGAATCATTTTTACATTGTTTCTTTTACAAAAAGTTAAGTTTGAAATAATGGAAAATAGTTGTTTATATATAATTATATATAATGATTTATCCGTTTAATTATTTTTTTATGTTTTCCCATTATTATTATTATATATTTTTTGTATATTAAATAGTATTAAAAAATTTGTGTGTGTGTGTGTGTGTGTGTGTGTGTGTATGTTCTTACATAAAAAACATTTTCTGGTCTAAAAAACATCTTCATCTAAAATCAGCGAATAATTTGTAAGTAATAACAATTGAAAATTCAAAATTGATATGCGATACCCAGCACAGTGTGTCGTTTGTGTAACTTTTTTATGAGATTATATGTATTTTTTATGAGACTATATAAAGTCTGCAATTTTTGTTTATAAAATATTTTGCAAGTAACATATATAGATGTACGTAAATAAATTACATATTAATACATTAATTTTTATTAAAAATTTAACACTTCTCATTATTTTAAAACGATAAAAGAAAAGATCAGCTGAATATGGCATAGTATTTTTTTACTGATTGTAGTAGCCAATAAAAAATACGCAATGCCATATTTTATCATTTAAATTACTACAGCAGCCAATCTTTTCTTTCAGTGTACGGATGATCTTTGTCAAACATCATCTTGCCTTGATAAATGATTATTGTGACAATGTGATTTATAATTCAAAAAAGAGATCGTTTACATGCCGTAATAAAGAATACAGTTTTTAAAATTTATATAAAAAATTAATAAAGAAAGGGTTTTAATTTTTAATAAGAAAAATCTTCTATACCCATGTGTTGCTTGATGAAAGGTAAGAATTCTGCAACTTTTGTGTATACGCCTGGATAATTTGGCTCAGCGCATCCCTTGCCCCATGATACTATTCCAACAAGATATGTCTTATTTTCAAATCTTATCGTCAGTGGTCCACCACTGTCACCCTAAAAATCATGTCAAATCGTAAGAGAAATGTACTAGTAAAATATACTAATATTTATGCACACACAAATTATTAAAGATTTTCTTTTTTAAAGATTTTTTTTTTTAATGTTACAATTAATTTTAGAAATTAAAAGCTAATTAAATTTATAATTTATAACAAATTTGTTTCCTTATAGTATATATTCTATATTATCATTAAATAAAAAAGGAATGAAAACGTTATAATAGAGGTTCGGAAATTGACAGAATCACACACACACACACACACACACACGCGCGCGCGCGCGCACGCATGCACGCACACATTTAATAAATGAAATAATTTATAGTAAAAATAATACTAAAGTGATAATAATAATAAAAAGGTAAAATTTAATTTTAAAATAATTAAAATTAAATACAAAATTATTGAGTTAATTAATTACAATGTATAATGTATGTATGTGTATACATATATACATATATATATAAATCAAGAATTTTTAATTTCTTTATTAATTTCTTCATTTGTTTGTTAAACTATTTAAAGAGAGATAAAGATATGATGTAAATCTTTCATTAATTTTTTTTTTTAATTTTTTTATTTTCTTTTTCTTACCTGACAGGAATCTTTTCCAGGACTTTCTGCGCATAGAGTGCGGTTATCAATAACTGCAGTCGATTGACCGTAAGCAGCTTTGCATTCTTTTTCCGAAATTATAGAAATTGTAGCTTTTAAAAGTTCGTCGGGCGATTCTCCTTCTGAAAAACAAATACGGATGTAACAAACTTTAGTATTTTTAGAATAAAAAGACTATTGTATTTTTATTATTAGATTATAAATAGGCAAGAATTAATTCACATTTCACAAATTACTAATAATAAGTAATTGTTACTTACCATAACTAGTATGTCCCCATCCAGCGATTGAAGCCTCCATCCCATCTAAATTCTCATTTTTCACCTTTCCTAGCGGAAGACAAGCGGGAAGAAGTATTGCTGAAAGTTTATAAAACTTATTAATCTATTATATTACGACAAGAAAAAAGAATTTGTGTCCTAAAATATGTAATATTTAATTTAAAAAATTTTTATAACATAAGTCGACACATGTAATGTATAATAATAATTTTGAAAATTTTATCGACTTTATAAATTTAATATCTATTTTAATGTACTTTGTATGTTTATAGAAAAGATACAATTAATGATAAGTTCTGCAATTTGTGTATATGTGGATGTAATCATATTATTCTAATTTAAGAGTAAAAGAAGAAAAATAACACTCGACTTTTACTTCTATTATTCTTTAAATGAGAAACGATAATATGCATCCATCATTTAAGATTCGCATAAGATTTGAATGACTAGTTTATTGCAGATCAGATTGAAAGTTAATAAAAGTTAATAAATCACTAAAAAGAAGTTAGGTAATTTTATCGAATTTTTTTTTAAGAAACAATGTAGTGAATCTTTTTAAAGATTTTCTGTGTTTTATTACACATTTTTAAGTAAAGAAAAAATATTTTGTTACAAAACAATTGATTTAATTTATAGAGTCTACAACAAATATTGACGCAGCCTCCTTGCCGGAGTTGTAAATGCAAGAATTATAGTGTATTTTGTATTCTGATGCAATAATATACAATAATTATTTATTTTTTTATGAAATTACTTTTTTAATAAATCAAGAAAATAAGAAAAAAAGTTGAAAATTAAGAAAAGGAAATATTTTGAAAAAATATTACAACTTTATCAAAGAATTTTATTTAATTTATGCAATAAAAATTGTTTAAATTAATTTTATTATTTTATTAATTTTACAGATTCAGCGATAAATATATTTAAACTTCATGTATTACATCGATACAATTTGATTGATCAATAATTTCTAAGTAATCTTTTCTATTCAATTTCAAAAAAATGGTTGAGAGCAAAACGCATTTAAAGTTTTTAATATCGAATAGAAAAATTATATTATTATAAGATCTATTTCGTATTCCTGCATTCCTTACTAGACGACACTAGAATTTTCTTTTTCGCTTATCAAATACCAAACATGTATCTATTTCGCTTTAAGTTCCAAAATTCAATCAGAAAATCGATTCGACATCGATTCCATTGTCACTTCTCACTGGAAAGTGTATATACTAGTTCAGTTGCAGAAAACAGATTTATAAACAGAATCGAGTAAAGAGTCTCGTATACTTACGCGCAAGAGATAGACAAAGATTTCTTAAAACTTTGTTTCGCTCTGTAACTTTGGAAATTTTTTACATGTCTACTATTGATTAAAGCAAAAACATTTTACGATTTTTTTGAACCGGTTACAAGGAGTTCCCTCTTTAAAAATCTTGGTAAAATGTAATTTATTTTTTACCTTTTATCTCATACTAAATAAAATTTCTTTATTTAATAAATTTTATATCACGCGATTTTGCTTAATACATAACGAAAATATTGTTTTTTATTTCTTCAAAAGACAAATATAACTTTAAAAACAAAATAGAATAGAGTATAAAAACTTACGTGTAAATTTTACCTTCTCAGCTAGTTTTACAAGCGCCACATCGTTCTCATGAGTCAAAGCATTGTATTCCATGTGCCGCATTATATCTTTAATGGGAACCTGAACCGGTTTTGCCCCATCGTTGGTGTCCTCGAAATTTAAATCGGCAACACGCGCTACATAGCTCATAATCAAAGAAATTAAAGAAGAATCATCAGAAAAACAATGAGCAGCGGTAAGGATAAATAACTCGTTAATCAAAGTGCCACCGCACATCCACGATATCCACTGCAGACCAGGCATAGGAGAAACAATACACCCAAGACGAGCTATCCAAGGAAATTCACCTACAAAATTAATTTATTATGTTGATAGCTGCAACAATAATCACGTGTTGAAACAAATACTAATGAACTACATTTATATAATCTTTTTTATAATTAAAAAAATAAGTACTTATTTTAATTATTAAATAATGAATTTTATAATTCTATCATAATCTATTAAAAATGAAATGTATAATAAGTTATATTTATATTTCTTGAGATTAATTTACTGAAAAAAAGTTTGTATTCTTAATTATTTACAAAAGGACGCTGCAACATTATCGCAAGGGAAAAATATAACATTGATAAGAAAATACTCTTCCAAAGTATTTAAAAAATAAAAAAAAACAGATTTAAAGTTTCTATGATAAACTGAAATAAATTTATTTGTAAAAAATTTTGAATTTTGAAAACAATTATTTAATAAGCAATTGAAAAATGTGTTGTAACTTTGAGATAGTATAAATAGATCGAGCATGCCGTGCAAGATATAGCTATACTATATGTCCTCTATGTCTATGAAACTGGCCCTTACTGATTAATCAAATTTAAAAACAAATAATATTCGATTCAATCGGATCTGAAATAATTGGATACCTCATTAATTAAAAATCATAGGGAAAACATTCAATTATCTCTACAAAAACCATCAGACTTTGATTAATCGAAGCAACATCGCCTGTCACTATTTGAATACTTCTCCATAATATAAAAATTATTCATACCTAACACAGCTTCTTTGCCACCAACGATTCTATCTGCCTGCACATTACTGATTCCGCACTGAGGTACAAGATCGGATGCAAAACTGCTTTGATGAAATTCTCGATCGCTTTTCAGTCCGATAGTACTGCCTATAATAATATTAATAATAATAATAATCTTCATTGCTTGGCTTATTGATCTAAAGCCAAAAAACTTTTGATTTACATTAAACTTTTTGATTCTTCACATTCTCATATTCTTCCCAATTTCTCTCATACAACTTCACTGCCTTTTTCTTTCCTTCCTTTCCTTGTTGTCTTTGTTCGTTATAGAAAATATTATAAATAAAAATATTATAAATATTATATATTATATGTAGTAAATAATGCATATCCGCGCACGCGCATGTTTCAAAGTACGCTGTATGCTTCTTAACATTTGCGTCACAATCAATGCGTAATCCGATCGTAAATAAACTCATGTTATTAACTGCGGTTTTATGCTGATAATATTGCACGTGAATTAGAGTAAACATATAAATGTAGTTGCAATTTTAGGATACTCTATGTATCGCTTGATTATTGCTTGCATTTGAACCATAATATTCGCGCGTTCCCAAATATACCCTCTTTCATTCGAGATTATAGTGAGTAGAAGTGTTTTAATAGTTTCCTGTGTTAATAATATATATGCGAACGCCACATGGAAAATTAGGAGTTACAGCAGTAATTATGCGTAGTTCACATTAAACTTGTATTGTAGCGGCTGTTATAATGGTGGCTAAATGTCATGAAATTTAAGCTGTACTTTTAAGTTACATAAGTTAAATTTTATTTTATAACATTCCATTAAATAGAATGTATGTGAAACTGAAAAGTATATTTGTATATATAAAATGTTACGTTTCACAAAATTTTATGAAATTTAATGTATTTTTCATAAAATTTTATGTAGATTTGCATGAAATTTAATGTACAAGTTCATTACATTATTATCGCAACTTAATTTTCAGTTTTAAATCGTTCCTTACTTTTCAAGTTACATCTTTACCACAAATTTCTCTTATTTAAATTCATTACTTAATTTTTAACAATACATACTATTGAATAAATAAACTATTTGTGACCGAGATATTTGATTCACTTCGATTATCACAATTTTTAACTTTCTTTTTCATTTATATTCTTTACAATTAACTTTTTATAACATTCTCCGATCATCTTTTTCTCAAACATATCCAATAAGCAGAAAATAATTATTACAACGATTGTGTCAATAATATATGATGTTTTTTTTTAGTTTTGACATATTGGATTCATTTACGAAAAAAAAATTAAACGAAGAATCTGACTAGAATGGAATTGTAAGTTTTCAAAAAGATTGTAAAAGCATACCTTCAGAAAATGATAATATTAATGCGCACAGCAAACTGACGAATATAATAGTCCTCATTATGTGAATCACTTGTCCAAGTATCCTAAAAATGCAAATGTATTATATTATTTTATTATTTATTAATAGATATATTTATAAATAAGTTATTTGCAGCTTAAAGTAGAATCCATACAAAATATGGATCTTATTTTAGGATACAAAATGTCTTGTATCATACATGTTTTATTAAGGAACATAAAAATCTTTTTTTCAAATATAAATAAGAAAATATAAAAAATAAAGAAAGCAATAAAATTCGATTTAAAAAATTAATGGACGGAGAGAGGCGAGAAGAAAGAATCCAGATTATACCGATAAAAAGATATATCTGTATTCTATTGAAACAAAAATTTGTACCGAACAGTATTTTGATTTAAAATTCGAATAGCTGAAACTTCGTTAAATATTAACAAAATTTAAATAAAAAAATAGGGCTTTTTAAAGCTTAAAAGCTTGCTTACTTTCGAAAGATCATTATGTCTGTTGACTTTCTGCGAGTTTGATCATTTTTACATGTAGAAAACTGGTCAAAATGGGAATTATTCTCTTCTCACTTTTCCAGACAGCACAGAATATTTATGAAAAATTTATTATTATTCGTTTTGTGAAATGTTATATAAATATTTCATACACATTTTATATAAAACATTATTCAAAATATTATTAAAAGATAAACCAAATATTTAATATGTAATATTTAAGATAAATATAAATATTCCTGGTAAGTATTTTTTACTTACTTGTCTTATTAAGTATTTCCATAACTTATCTTATTAAGTATTTACTATAAGATTTACAATAAATATTTCATAATATCTATAAACGTTTATGCTCTATACAATCTAAGATCATAAAAATATTTAAAGTAGTATTATGAATTTTTGTTCCAATATTGTATTAAAAAATTTATATTTTCTTAATGTATATATTGCAGCCTTAATATTAGGTGTTATATATATGTATATTTCATTAAAAAAATATTACATAAAAACATTACATTAAATAAAAAGTTTTTAACAATAAATAAAAATATAAAGTTTTTAATTAAGTGTATCTATCTTTTTTTTTATGGGTTTCGCAAGGCTGCCTGCTCATCGAGCGATGGTTATTACTTATGATCATAAAATTATTAGCTTTTATGGCAAACTTTTTGCTTTAGTAGAGATAAGTTTCTGTTTACAATGTAGGAAATTTTATTACTTCTGACAGGCAAGTATATAAATTATTAATATTTTGAGCTTGAATTTTATCTGTGAGATTCGTCTATTGATTGCCACCAATAATGTAATAAAGACGGCATGGCAAGCAGAGGAAAGTAGAAATTGTTTCGAGTGTCACCTTTTCTTATTATACTATTAAAAAAAATAAACTTTTTAACTCAAAAAAATTTTTCTCCCAATATAAGTAACGAATTATTACTATCACGTACTCACACACGAACAGAACGAAGACTCGGGAAGACAGCGATCGATTAATCAACAAGAGCTGTAACGATGAATTATTCTCGAACTTCTGGATTGTTCCCTTTCGATGCGTTCGTTTTATAACGAACAAAGAAGTAACAATGAGGAATTAATTAACAATCTAATTAACAGATAATATTATATACATTTATTTTTTGTTATCTCTAGCAAAGTGGAAATATTGTAACACAGGAAATGGTCAATAATGAAGTACGTCATAAATTGACCAAAATTTCGCTTTATAATGAACAAATAAATAACAATGAGGAAGTAATCAACAGTTTAATTGACATAATGTCACATTTATTTTTTATTATTCCGAGCAAAATGCAAAGTGGAAACATTATAATACAGGAAATAGTTAATAACGAAGTACGTCATAAATTGAAGAAAATAATTGCGCTAAGATAATTTATTACAACGCAGCAATTTTATTAGAATTAAGTTTTTAAACAATATTTGTTAAAAATTAGACAAATTCGATTTAAGATATTTTATAATTATTTCAAAATCATTTAATTTTTTATTTAAAATTTTATCACGCTAAATGTATAATACAACATACTTTTACACTAAAATTTAGAAATAATTATGTATTTTTATAAACATATTATGGATTAACTTGATTCCTTTATCCAAAATTATATTTCTAAATATTTTAAACATAATACAATTAAAATATTTTTCTCGATTATTAAACAATTTCTTTCCAAATTTAACTTGCAAATATATGTAGCATTAAAATAATTCGCCATATTGTTATTGTTTTGCCGAAATACTATATCGAAATTAATTGCGCAAACAGTTCTTAATATTATTCTACATATTATTAATATTATTATTAATATTCTATATATTATTGATATTTTATATATTTTATGTATTTTGTAAATATATGAAATATATAATTGTAAAAATATTAGAAAATGTTACATATATTTTATATTAAATGTTGTTGTAATAATATTGAAGAGTGATGATTTTTTTGTTTTTTGGAATGGAAGTTTTGGACTGATTTTTGGACGAATTGGCGGAAGCTAAATTAATAATTTAAAATTGTTTACGGGATTTTCTAAAAACAGAAAAATAACAATTATTTGTTATTTTCCATCAAGTCCGGGAAAAGTTAAATTGAAAATAGAGATTTATCATTGAGAGATTACGCTGAACCAATCAATGTTTTTTAAGTTTTGTATTCTTATCTTTAAAATAAAATTATTTGCGTTTATATATTGAAAAGTTTATAGGTATATTGAATAAAATATTAGAAATATCAAAAATATTTTTAGTTCTGTTGTAGTCACGTAATACAGGGTATTCCATTTTAATTGTCCAAAAAAAATAGAGAAGAGACGGAAAAATGTTTTAGACAAATAGTAGTTATACATGGTTTGGGAAGGGAAAAAGAACAGTTTCTCGAAAGAAAAATTTTTAAGTTTGTATAGAAATTATTTTTTAATGGGAGAGAGAGCTTTTAATGGAATTACAATATATACTTTTTACATATATGTAATATGATAAATTGCAAATATTTTTATAATTTATTTTTTCAAGAATTTTCCTTCTGTAATAGTTTGATTTGTAAATTTCGAGACGCTTTGTCTAGTTTTGTATCTCTATTTATTTAATAATAAAAAATATGATTTATGTTATTAGATGCGTTCAGGGATTCAATCCTTGTTTTACATCTCAAAATTAAGAAAAGACAATAACAAATAGCACTAATAGTGTCTAGTCGAACGCACCTAATAATATAACCGTATTTTTTATTATTAAATAAATAGAGATGTACGCTAGACAAAGCGTCCAGAAATTTACAAATTAAATTATTATATATAAAAAAATAAGTTATAAAAGTATTTGTGATTTGTCGTGCAATAGTTTTCCGTGCAAGTAAAATAAGTTCAAAAACTGATCAATTATCTAGATTATAGTTAAATAGCCTTAGTAGATTTTGAAATACAGATAAAATTTAAAAATTGATCAATTATGTTATAGATTACGGTTAATGGTGGACAAGTATTTATATGAGCTAATTTTAAAACTTTATCTATATTTCAAATACAGGGTCTGAGCACAAAAATTGTCGTAACACTTACTTAGAGACTTAAGTTGTAGACGTAAGTAACGCATAAGCTTCTCTTGGAGACACGGCAATAAGTTGTACGTCATACATGAAAGTTTGTGTGTTACTTACGTCTACAATTTAAGTATAAGTAAGTATTATAACAATTCTTGTGCTCAAACTCATAGACCGATCTTCACGCCTTAAGCGAAATAGATCGCTTTTCATTCATTTCTTGATACAGATTTTTCTTCATGTTTTTTTCGATATAGCACCTGTACGGCTCAAATGTCGACATAATAACTTTTCGGAAAAAAATATTTTATATATAATTATATATAATTATATAAAATTATATAATTTTGTATATTTGCAT